GGTAGCCCTTCGAGGGGTAGAGCTGGACTTGCAGGGTCCTGGTCTGGGCTGGGGGCCGGCGCCCTGGGTACTGGTCTCAGCCTTCACCTCCCTGCCCTTCGCGTGCCCTGGGGCAGCTCAGGGTCTATTCCATCCTCCTGCTTCCCTGACACACGGTGCTCCTTTGTGACCGGAGTCCCCAGCGTCCACTCGGCTGGCAGAACCCTGGGACAGCTGTGTTAGCCACTGGTCCTGCAGGCCTAAAGCAGCCTGCTCTCTGGGGCAAGTAGGGGTGGGGCTGGATCTCAGCATCTGTCCTGGCCTGGACGGGCAGCACCTCCACAGTCAGGAGAAAGTGGGGTCTCACGCAGGGCGGGGCCGGGACCTGCTGTCCTGGGACCCCGCCCCCCAGGCCGCCCCCTAGGGGAGCAGAGACCGCCCTCCTCCTGTGTCCCCTTCTGATGTCCGGGGAGCCACACCCAATGCCCCACCGAGGGTACAGGCCTGCCTGCGGAGTCCACTGGGCATGCGCTGTGCCTCAGTTTATTCATCTGTAAAAGGGAGAAATATAATAGCACTGCCTTGTGAGGCCGCGGTGGGCATTGAGGGGGATAATGCACTGAGAGACGTCAGAGCAGCGCCTGGCGTGGGGCAGGTGCCCGACGGCTGAGGATGAAGATGGTGACGGTGATGATGACGATGGTGATGATTGGCTAGAGGATGGGGCCGTTGGCGGGGTCAGGAAAGCCCTTCAGGTGAGTTGGATGTTGGAAGGAGAGGCGATTGGGGCCAGATGGTGGGTGGGCTGAAGGAGAATTTTTTGTCTGAAATAATCCTGTGGTCAGAGTTGCTAGGGATTATACCCTTTGACTCTGGAACAACCTGGGGTCTCTGTGACCAGGGGCTTTGTGGCTGGGGAGCCCACGCCGAGGCACTGTGACCCCCCGCATAATAAAGATTCCTTGTGTCGATAGACAACGTGGCATAATTTATAAGGGCTTGACTCATCCAGAACCTTCTCTGAACTTTACGGCGTTATCCCCATTTTACAAGTGAGGGAACTGAGGGCACAGAGAAGTTAAGTGACTTGCCCAAGATCACACAGCTGTAGCTCCAGAGCCCATTGTCTGAACCACCATCGGCTTCTCCAGCCAGGCTGATGCAGCTTTCAGCCTCAGTGAGAGCTGGGGCGGGGGGGAAGGAGGAAAAGCTCCCGGAGGGGCCCCCTGCCCCCCAGGGGAGATTGTTCCCAGGACAGGTGTCGAGGCTTCCCTCCCATGAGCGAGGGTGCCAGCTGCCTCGAGTCTGCACACCAGGCCCCTGTGGGAAGCCTTTCTTGCCCCCTGACCTTTCCCCCTTCACCCCAGCTAGTCTGCAGTCACCCAAAGTGAGGGAACTTCTGTCGCCCAGTGCTCAGACCTGCAAATCTCCGTGCTGGGTGGACGCAGGCCTCTGCACCTGCACCGTCTGGGGTTGGCCTCGCCGTCCCCCTCCCCCAGTCCAGCCTGCTCCTCCCCCAGGAGCGCCTGTCTCGGAAAGCGACACCACCATCTGCTCGGTCACCCGCTCTGAAGCCCGAGGGTCACCTCGCCTACTGCCTCCCCTCCCCCACGCTCTGTCCCCACGCCCATCAGGCACCGAGTCCACAGATCCCCCTCCTAAATCTCCCACTTCTCTGTCTTCACCGTCACCTGGGCCTCAGTTCCACTGGACACCACTTCCCCTGCTTCCGCGCCGCCCCCACCCTCTTCTACCTGATGGCCTGAGAGATGCTCCAAATCCCAGCCCATCTCTCTACCTCGTGCCTCCAGGCCTTTGCCAACGTGGCCCCCTCACCCAGATCTCTCCTCCTGCGGGGCTGCGACAGCCTCTCCCCCATGCCCCACCCTCATCCGGGACCCGCTCCAGGACTGGCCGGCCCAGCGCAAGACGCAAGTGCACGGCTCTTGTTCACAACCTGTGCCATTACAGGTGCTAAAATGCCTTCCTTCCACGCTCCCTTTGTCAGCCTACCATGGTGGGGTTTATGGCCTATTTGGTGTTTTGTGGAGGGTGCAGACCCTCCCAGGCACCTCCTCTCCGTGACCCAGCGCACATGCCACCCCCAGCCATGCCCTGGCCCTTCACACGGGCCCAGTGCCTCCACCCAAGGTGGACAGGCCTCCCCCAAGGAGACACAGAGCACCGGGAGGGAGGGAGGGGGGCCGGAAGCCGGACCCTGCAGGGCCCTCTCTGAATAGGCCATGGTGCTGTCAGCCCAGGCTGGGGGGGGGCATAAAATGCCTTCCTTCCACGCTCCCTTTGTCAGCCTACCATGGTGGGGTTTATGGCCTATTTGGTGTTTTGTGGAGGGTGCAGACCCTCCCAGGCACCTCCTCTCCGTGACCCAGCGCACATGCCACCCCCAGCCATGCCCTGGCCCTTCACACGGGCCCAGTGCCTCCACCCAAGGTGGACAGGCCTCCCCCAAGGAGACACAGAGCACCGGGAGGGAGGGAGGGGGGCCGGAAGCCGGACCCTGCAGGGCCCTCTCTGAATAGGCCATGGTGCTGTCAGCCCAGGCTGGGGACAGCCACCTCCGTGGCTGTCCTGACACACCGAAGGGCACGTGTGCCAACCCTGACGCTCCCAGGACCACGCCCAGGCTCTGCCAGGTGGCCTCCCAGGGGACTGAACTGAGAGTCTGTCCCCAGAGACAGGGGAGGGGTGGGAAGTGACAGAGGCAGGACCGCGAGTGAGCCACGGCCCTGTGCCCCGTCCCTGTTGAACTTCACGTACAAAACATACACTCAAGGATGAAATTATCAGATGTTTCGATGCCACGACCCCAGAGTATCACCCCCTGAGCACAGGGCCCGCCCGAGTGCAGGTCACACCCCGTGAAGCCGGCCCTGCCCTCCAGGCTCAGGTCAGACATGCCATCTGCTGGGGCCACCCTGACGCCCCCGTCTCACTCAGGTTCTCCTCTGGGACAACGTCCAAGTGCACCCAGACCTTGCATGTTTCCCATTTCATTTTAACTGCTTGTTTGATTGATTGGATAAATTAATCTCTGTCAAGATGGGAATTATGTCTGTTTGGTTCACAAGTAGGTCCCCTGTATGTAACAGGCACACGACAAATATCTGTTAAATAAGTAAGAAAGTTAGTGCAGAGTGGGTCCTTGGGCCTCCTTTCTCCCAACCATGGTTCTGTTGGATGACTGGGGGGGTCCCAGACCTTCCTCAGATACCTACAAAGCGGCCAACAGGGCGAGAAAGAGAGGAAGCCCCCATCTCCCTCCCTCCTGCTCTAACTGCCCTCCCTTCCCTCTTGCTGGCTTTCGTGGAGATCGGCATATGACTACAAGTAGAAGCGGGGAGGCCTCAGCTAGGAGCTGGCTGTGTGACCTTGAGTATCACCTGCCCTCTCTGGGCTTCACAACAGAGGGTCCCTCACCGATGAGCAACGACCCACCCAGCTCTGACCTTTGACAGGATGGTCGTTACTTTGGGAAGGTTTCCGGTCCGGTTCTGCCAGGGAACTCGTCACCCTGTCTCTACGAACCCTAGAACTTACCCAAGACTCCGTCACTCAGCCCACAGGCCAAAGGCAAGCACACAACACAGTGTGAACTTTTTAGGGCAGCCGTTTTGTTTCAAGATGGCAGGCGACATGCCCACTAAAGTCCGATTCTACACCTTCTAGGAGGGTGGAGCTTCTTTCCAAAATAGTCAACTTCTTACGGAGTTGAAATGGAACCGAGGCCCCCCGATATGAACTCCTAAAGGCATGGATGCAGGGCTCCCCTGGACTCCAGAGCGTAGACAAGGGACCGGCCTCATGGGGCCCAGCCTCCGAGGAGCACCGTCCCCGCCTGCCTCACCGCAGGGCCTGCCTGCTCTGGCTCCCACTCTCCGAGCTTTTCCGCTTATAGCCAAGCACACACTTAGAATCTCAGCTTCTCCCCAGCTCAAGATAGATTCCTATGGAAACCAGCGCAAAGCAGAGGCAGAAATAAATGCCATCCTTCCAGTCCCTGGACGCATGCGTGACAGTTTTCCTTCCGCCCACCCCACAGAGCTAGTGCAGGAAAAGCGTGCCGAAAAGGCGGGTCCATCAGCCTGTCCCCTCAGGGGCCTGGTAAATGCCCGAGAACAACACCTCCATTGGCTTCCCCAGGGGCCCTCGTACTGTCACCACGTTGGTGGCACAGCTATCCAGGCCGGGTCTGAAAGTCAGAGCCCCGCGTCTGAGACCCTGGGAGAAGACGCGTGCATGGGGGTGACCCCCTGAGCCTCAGTTTCCTTGTCTTGTAATGGGTCTAATAACGTTACTGACTTCATGGGGGCAGTTACAGGAAGTGAAAAAGACAACAATGTAAATTAGTTAGCACAGAACCTGGCATCTGATGAGCGCTTAATAAACACCAAGCATTTTATTATGATCTAGCTCTTGGGTAAGTCCGTCTTTTACCCCCCCTAAGCCTCAGTTTTCTCATCCGTAAACAGAGTGAGCTGGGGAGGAGCCAGGACAGCCTGGTTCTGGAAAGCCCCTTCCAGCCGCGGCCTTTTCTGGCCTGTGGACTTGTTACTGGTGCCGGGATGAGGAGAGTGTGGCTCTAACACATGTGTTCTCTCTCCGTCAGGCCATCCCGGAAAGGCAAGCTCCGCAGAAGCACGATCCTTCCGGGTTACAACCAGGGAGGGGAACTCAGCACTCAGCCCCCATCGTTGGCCTTACAAAGCCTCAGTTTCCACATCTGTCAAATGGGCCTAGTTTAGGGGTCATGGGGAGGAGGACATGGCTTACTGGCGTAAGGAGCTCAGCACAGCGCCCCTGGCACACCGGGTACTTGCCCAGTGCTGATATGATGGAACCCAGCCCGGCCAGGTTTCCCTGCAAAGCTCTGAGCCCCTCAGCCAGTCCTGCAGGTGGTGGGGACGTGGGGTCTGTATCCTTGGGGGCTGCAGCTCCAGCATCACCTACCAGCGCGCAGCCTGGGCAGCAGGCCGGCAGGAGGAAGGGAAGACCCCTCTTACCAGGCCGAGGTTCAGAGCGCTGCTGTCGTCCTCCGGCATGGGCAGGTACGCGGCCAAGGCCACACAGTTGGCAAAGATGGTGAGTAAGATGATGGTCTCGAAGGGTCTGGTGCAGGGTTAAGGAGAGCCCTCGAGTGAGGCGTGGGATTCGTGGGATTAAGGGGAAGAGCGCGCTGGGGGGTCTGTCTGGACTGACTACAAGGCCAGGCTGATGGGCCCACGTTGCCCTCCTGCAGGGCACAGACGGGGCCAGGCTCCTGTGGGGCACCCGCCCCCCCCCTCCTCCAACAGGGAGCGTCCACTGAGACGCTTTGGGACCACGAGGCTCTGGCTCCTGGCTGGGGGCTACTCAGCCTCAAGGCCCGGGGAGTCTGAAGCCCCCGTCTCAGTACCGATCCCCCCAACCCCCCCGCCCCACCGACCGCTGCTCTCCCCGCTCCGCGGAGCCACGGCCAGACAGGCCGCGGCGTCCTCGCAGAATCAGCAAGGGAGGCTGGGGCTGCTGCGGCCTGGGCTAAGCACCCCTGGGAAGCGGGCGGGGAGGGATGAAACCTGGACTCTGCAGCCTGAGGAGGGGACGGTAACCGACGGTAACCGACGGCATCCGTGGCCCCAGGGCCGTGCACCCACCCACACAGGCCCTGCCAGCCGTTTTCCGGAGGGGACTCCCACCAGGCTCCCTGGATTTGCTGGTGAGTAGCACAGCCTCCGGGGAGGCTGACCATTACAGGGCGGCTGTGGAGGGCACTGAGGGGGAGAAGCGGGGAGGCCCGAGCTCTTCGTGCGTGGTTGGGGGACGCCCTGTACAGATGGCTAGAGGGAGACCCCACGCCCTTCCCAGCCACCTTCCTCTGCGGTTTGAAGAGAGGCGGCCTCGGGGCAGAGGACTGGAGAGGGGACAGGATGCAGGCGAGAGACACGGGTGGGGAAGTCTGCCCCCGCTCCCCAGACAGGAGGGCGCGAGCCTCCTGGGTGCCGCGTGGGGGCAGGGCTGACTCCTACCCAGACCTTCCAGTTCCACCCGGGTTCTCCTTGTCCCTGCGGCTCCCTTACTGTCCTTTCTTCTAGGGAACAGCTGGTGGGAGCCTGGCCTTCCAAAACCCTTCAGAAGTATTTCAAATATTCCCGAGCAGCTCACCCAGCACCCACTTGACAATGGCCCCCCCTCGGCATCTCCTTCCTTTCTGCCCCAAATAAGCTGGAAATTTTCATCATTCTCCCTCGACGAGCTAATGCCAGCGTAGAAGGGGGCTCATGTCCCTGTGCCCACGTGGTGCCTCCCACCCAGGCCTGTTGTCACAGCAGAGCTCGGTGCAGGCCCATCTCTCCCCCCCGCCCCGGCCGCTGTAGCCTCCCCCTGGCCCCAGCCCTGTCCCATATCCCAGGGAGGCTGAGAGGAGCCCTCGACGCTGGGGACTGGGGATTTGGGCACACCTTCCAGCACCTTCCAGAGACACTACAGAGGCACCCAGGCTGCCTCCGGGACCTGGGCCTCAGCCCCCGGGGGGCCCCTGCTCCCCGGTTGAGGGCTTCCTTCGCAAAGGCTCCCAGCTCCAGCCCTAGGCCCCGGTCTCCGGCCCCCAAGCCTGTGATCGGTGAGCCCCACTCCTTGCCTCCCCTGACACACACACACGCCCCGTGCAGCCCCTTGACCCTGCAGGATACTTCCATTCCACGATGCTGATGCAGGCCCTCCTCACGGGGTTCTGGAGAGTCAAGCAGAACAAAGCCCGCGGCGGCCTGGGCAGGACCTCGGGAACAGGCTTCTTGGTCTGCTTCCTCCTCAGGCCCTCATCCTGGGTCGAGGACGGCTCCATGGCTCCCGGAGCCTCGGCCTCTCCTGCTGTCCACCCGCTGCCCTCTCGTCCCCGAGTCCCCAGTGCCCCTGCCTTGGGGACTGGGTGGCTGAGCCCCTGGGCGAGCCTGCCCTGCTGAGCCAGCCGGGGCAGGCCGGGGATCGCTCTCCCTGCTCCCAGGGAGTAAAATTAGCCTCCACGGGCTCTCTGCTGCCCAGCCGAGCTCCCGCGGCCAGGCAGCTGTCATTCCTCCCCAGCCCAGCCAGTGACAGCGCGGAATGTCCCCAAGGAGGCTGGGGGTGGGGCTGGGGGCTCACACGTGGGTCTGGGCTGGGGCAGAGGGAGACAGTTTGGAAGGTTCAAGGCTGGGGCGACGGAGAGCTCACAAAGTGCTATGGAGCCTCAGGCTTCAGACTAGCCCCTTGGTGTCAACGTTCAACCCACCCCTCCCCTCAGGCCCAGGACACTGTCCAGAAAGGGTGCTGGGTGGTCCAGCTCAGTAGGAGTCCACAGCCCTCCCTCACATCTCTACCTGCAGCCGTCAGGCCGAGATCCTCCTCCCTCACCCCATGCCTACGCCCGGTGGGGCGGGGGGGGGGGTCCTGGGGGGGGCCCCCCTTCTCCCCCCCCCCCCCCTCTGTAGCCCCTGGCAACCCACCACTCTACTTTGAATTTCTATGAAATTGACTGTTTTGTATACCTCATAGGTGGCATCATACCATATTTGTCTCTTTGTGACTGGCTTATTTCACTTAGCATAACATCCTCAAGGTTCTTCCATGCTATATCTCAAAGCATTTTGCAGTACCTCTTATGGAATTGTCTTTTGAGTCTATGGCACATTCTTTTGAAGCTATTCATTTATTCAAGCCTTATTCCATGCCCAGGGCCCCTGCCCTAGAGTGCCTCAGAGTCTGATCATGGAAACCGTGTATCATATAACATGTGTGATAAATACCAAATAGGAAGCAAGTACAAAATACTGTGAGGATCACGTTTGTATTTTCAGACCTGGACAGCAACAGTGAAAGATGAAATAGAGGAATGGAAAGAAAGAGCCAACAGAGTTTGATATCAATTCAGACAGAAATTAAGAAGGTAGCAAAGGTGGTGGTGGAGGAGAAAGACGAGGCAGATGGAGGGATAAATTGGAGGGAGTGAGAAACACCTCTATAGGAGAAACAAGGAGGTAGAAACCAACAGGTGATAATGAACATTTTAGGCTTAGTAACTATGCAAAGTTATAACCACTCCTAGGTCCCAAGGGGCAAGGAGAGGAATTAGAGCCTTCGTAGGAAACTTTGGTCTTCCATAGAAGAATTTACTAGTACCAAACTATGGCCAGGCAAAGAAAGAGCTGAAGAATAGATATCCCAACTTCTTTCTCCTCTGACCTACAAGCCCACTTTGCAGCTCATTGACCGAACCTAATCAGAAACCATAAGCCACCACTGACAGCATCCTGAGGCACAGCAGGTCTGAGGGTACCCAGAATATCCAGCACCATTATTTTTTATTCTCCTCATATTATGTGTAAAGTAACTGAGTGGTCATCAACTTGCCCGAGTTTACAAATAAATGGCTGGAGCCTGTTTTATTCCAGAGCCTGTACTTTAACCCATTATTCTGTACTGTGCTTCAGCTACAAAAAAAAAAAAAAAAAAAAAAATCAACAACAAAGGAAGCATGTCATTGAGCACCTACTGCATGCCAGGCACTTTTCCTGTGTGCAGAAAATACAACATGAAACAAATGCTATAACTTACTTAAGGATTAGAGTGAGTGTCTAGGAATTATGTTCCACTGCTAGTTCAGTGACTTAAGTAGATTGTTCTGGCTCTCAGATAAAAGCCTGAAGATAAGCTTTTCAGGGCTAGTATGTGGCCCTTTGAAGTCATCAAGGACCTAGGTTTCTTCTGCCTTTCTCTTCAAACCATCCTCGGTGTGTGGCCTCTGTCCTCAGAATCACAATATAGCTGCTGTAGCATAAGCCATCACATCTGCATTCCAAGCAGGAAGCAAGAGGAAATGGGGGGAAATACCATCTCCTCTTCTAAACTCCTGGGTGTGCCCACCTTTCTCCCCGCACCCCCCCCCAGCCTGCCCCTAGCTGTGCAAGGGGAGGTGCCTATCTCTGGGACTCTGTGCCCTCCCCACACTGCCCCTGGCATGTACTAAGCTCTCTGTAAATGTTAGTTGAATGCATGAGCTAACAACACCCCACACACCCTGGAGGCAAGTGCTTGAGTGGGAAGGAGACAGGGGCGTCAGGGAAGGGAAGGCGGACAACCACCCGGGAATCACAAAACTCAACGTCTTTATTTAGCCCCGTCGAGCAAACACAGCGCCGGTACACCCATGCGGTCCCCACGCCCACAGAGTACAGTCTGAGGGGGGAGCACGCAGTCCTCACCCATCCCGGGGGCGGGGGGAGGGGGGAAGGAAAGGGCCACACTGGGGCGTGGGGTGGGTAAGGCCCTCAATTAAGGAAGCCAGAGGGCGCCACCAACGCACACACTGCCACCTCCTGGGCCGAGTGCACGCAGAATCTGGCCTGCGCCTCTCCTTCTGGGCTCCTCTGGGGGGCGGCGGGGGTGGGGGAGGTGACAAGCAAGTCCCGGAAGCGGACGCTGGCGTCTGAGGCCATCTCGTGGAGAGCAGGGGCGTGGCGTGCGGACCAGAGCAGACTCGCCTCCTGGGCTGCGCCCGTGGCCACGGAGGGCGGAGCAGGACCTCCACGACCGGGGCACCTCCGGCCTTACCCCGCGCGGGGCTTAGGCCCAGCCGGAGCCCGACCCCCGGGTGGCCGGCATGGACGGGGAGCGCGCCCTCGCCGCCCCGCGACAGCCGCTCTGGCCTCTCTCGTGCCCCCGCTGGAAGGGACTGGGCCGGGGTGGCGCTGGCGGAGGGAGGGTGCCGCGGCCGCCTGAGCACCCCGAGCCCGGGCGGCCCCAGCCCGGTCAGTGGCTGCAGTCCTCCGACTCGAAGAGGGGCGAGGAAGAGCAGCACGAGGGCTCGGACGAGTCGGGCGCCAGGGGGGCGCGGCCGCGGGGCCCGCGAGGCCCCGGGCCGTCGGGGGCGGCGCGCAGCAGTTCCTGCAGGTGCTTGATGTAGCGGATGGCGGCGCGCAGGGTCTCCACCTTGCTCAGCCGCTTCTCGGCCAGGGCGCCAGGCAGGTGGCCGCGGAGGCGCGCGTAGCCCTCGTTGACGCAGCGGACGCGCTGGCGCTCGCGCTCGTTGCGCTTCTGGATGAAGGCGGGCTCGAAGGGGTAGTGGCAGGCGCCCGGGAAGGGCGCGCGGGGGAACGCGGCCGCGTAGGCGTCGCAGTAGGGCGGCCGGGCGGCGCCCGGGTACAGCAGGAAGGGCACGGCGCCCAGAGGCTCGGCGCGGGCCGGGGTCGCCGGCCGGGGAGGGGGCCCGATGCCCAGCGGCAGGCAGCCGGGGGGCGCCGCAGGCCGGCGGGACGCCAGCGCCCGGCAGAAGTCGTCGTTCATGGTGCCGCGCGGAGCCGGACCCGGAGCGTGCCCCGAATCGCCCCGACTCAGGGTCTGCGCGCCCTGCCCGCGGAGCGAGTCACATCGCCAGCCGCGGCTCCGGGCGGCCGGACTGGTCAGGGCTTCTTTTCGCTCTGGGAGCAGGCTCCGAGGTCCCCCTAAAGCGAGCCATCGCGGCGGACAGTGGGGCCTCCGCGGGCACGTCTCAGAGCAGCCGAAGGGGATGTGGGGTGGGCGCGGGCCTTCCCAGGGCGCAGCCCTGCGGCTCCAGCGGGCCCCGCGCCAGGGTCTTGGTCCTCGCGGCCCTCGGGGTCCCCGGGCTGTGCACCGGGCAGGAGAGGGTCCCGGGTGCCGTCTCTAAAGAAGAGGGTGAACATATCAATTAGGAAAGGCTTTGTTGCATCGTGGGCTCCTTTGTGACACCCCGCCCTCCAACGCGGTGGTAAGCATCACGAGGGGAGGCGGTGGGCTGCAAAAGACATACGCGCAGAGCAGGGTTCAAATCCTGGTTCACCCCTTGATGCTTGGGTGCCCTCTCTGAGCCAGTTTCCAGTGTGGAGATAATTAAAACATCCCTCCCAGGAGATGAATACTGAATGAGGATCAAATGAGAAAAAAATATACCCAAAGACGCCTCCTCCAGGGCCTGCCTTATAAAAGGTGACCAGCGATGTCATTTCCTTTGAGCAATACGTCTGGTCACTCGCTCCTGCCAGGGCCTCACATCTGGAGGCTCCGAGCCTGCTTACTGAGTTGGCAGTAGAAACCCCAGCGGCAGCCATAAGGCAAGTAAGGGTCGGACCCTTTATTGAAGGCAATGCATCTTTGGTTCAGAGGAACCCGCATGTGGTCGGGACTTTCAAAGCCCTCCCGTGTGGAGTGGCACCACCAAAGCTCTCTGTGCCCCAGTCCCCGGGGTGGGGGTGGGGGCGGCTGGGATGTGCCCTCTCAGCCCTCCTGGGTTTGTCCTTTCTGCCACTCAACACAAGTGCCTGTGATTTCAGCTCCGTGTGGGCAGAGCCTGGCAGGCTAGAGAGTCTGCACAAATGCTTGTTGAATAAAGAGTGAGGGTGAGACAGGAAGCTGGGCTGGTAGGGGGCAGGACTAACTCACCCGCAGCCCCTTTCCCAGACTCCAGGATGCTCTTATTTTAGAAGTAATTGGCCTGGTTTGCATTAAAGTGCCACCAACTCCTCTCACCCGCGGTTATCAGATTCCACTTTGTTGTCATGTCCTCTAGGCGTTCTCTCTCCCCGTGTGTCCAGTGTCCTGTGGATGCCATCTAGCACTTGTCACACTGCCCTCCACGGGAGATCTCAGGGTTCCCTGAATGAGCAAGTGAGTGGGTGCTGCAGCCCACGTAGACAGTGATGGAGCAGCGGGGCCTCAGATGCCGGACCAAGGCTTCGACCTGACAGAAGGGCCGGCTCTGTCCCTGACAGGGGAAGGTCGCTGCCACACTCAGGCTCCTGAGAGTCCCCTGCACCTTCTCGCCTTTGTCCTTTATCCGGGTCCCAGTCTGTTCCC